AACCATGGCAATTCACTGTAGTATGTATCAAACATCTGAAAAGCTTCATTACATAAATGCTGACTGCTTTTTTTCCTGTATTCTGTTCATTTATGTATCAAAGTAAATCCATACAATGAATAAACACCGTATAATATTATGGAAATGTTGACATATGCTACTAAATTGCATCACAGCAGCATGACACCAACAGCTGTGAGACCTGTTTGCCACCTATATCTCAGGCACATCTGAAACACAGTCATCTTTATATGCATCAGTTTTTTCTCTTCCTCTCATAGAATGGAAAAAATCTATAAGAAATTAAAAATCTATACAAATGTTTGCAGCCAACATAATTCACAAGTGATCTTTTTAACCCATAAGCTAAGATCTATTGACTATATAACTATGAAATAAAATACAGCTCTGACTTGCAAATCAAAATGTTGCATTCTACAAAAAAAGGTGAAATTCCTTATTTAGAAGTATCCACCCCATTTAGAATTAAAACTTACTTTTATTTACTATTCTAATGAGAAATTTTGTAAAACTTTAAAACAGTGATGGGTACTAGTTACTTGAATGTATAATTTGAAGAATTTTGAAAAAAATTATCATACAATTGGGTTAAATCTTCCAGTTCTAGATCCTCTCATTTGTAACAATGCAATGACCTGACTAATCAGTACAATAAAGAAGGAGATATTTAATTGAAGAATTATCCTTTTAATAGTGAAATATGTAATCAGATAATTTATCACTAATATTAATTGCTTTTTATTTTTTTGAAATCATCAAGAGTTACTATTGGATTGGATGCTTTGGGGGTTTTTTGGGGGGGTTTTGCTTTTGTTAAATGCAAGAAGTCTTTCGTGGAGTTATGAGAAAGCAAATTATACTTGATTTTTTCCTGGGAAATGTTTTGCAGAGCAAGTCCTTAGGCCTACTCCAAAATTTTAACTAAAATACTACAATACCATACCAAAAATTTATTCCCTATAACATAGGCTATTTTTGCATTTATTATTAAAACAAAATAAATCAAAAATAGATATACACAGCAGCCATACTCCAAGATAATTACTGAATTTAAAATACTACTAAAAAGAATTCTTCCATGTATTAAACTGATTTTATACAGCAGTGAGAGAATACACTGAGGTCCTTTTTCCTCCCTTTCTTTCTTTGATTACTTATCTACTGTTACTGATACATTATAATTCATACTAAATTAATGACCTAAACAGTAAAATTCTTCTAGTTTATTAGTTACTTTCAGATTTTGAGACATATTTCTCTTTTTTTGCTCCTTATACAGGTTTCAAGAATTTGGGGAATTTGAATTTCCTTAATCAAGACATTAGTTTTTCTTCAAAATATCCTACTTACCAGGACTATTGAAGTGAAACCAATAAAATATATGTCCTAGTATAATGAGTCACATTCCTTCTTCTTGTCCACATTGAACATAAAAATGTGTCTGAGGAAGTGGATATTTATTTAAACATTCAAAGCTTCTACAGAAATATAAAAACCTTAAAACCTCTTCCTACGTCCTGAATGTTCCTGCATGTTGTTGAAAGCTTCGCACATACAAAAGTAGACTCTTAATGATCACTGGAAGACTTTTTTTCCTCTACTAATGTTTTCATACAAGCTTTGAAAACAGTCTATGTGAAGTCTTTTACCTTTGAAAGCTCTAGAGAGTGGGCTAGAGATCCCTACTCAGGAAAATCTGCAACCCTGAGACAGGGCAGTATGCTCAGCAACTCCAGTTTCTTTTTTGGGTTTTACTGTTTCAAATAAAACCAAAACACAACAAAACCCACAAAACAGTAACACTAAAATTAATTATAAACAATGCACTTGTTACAAAAAATACTTAACCTGTTTATGACAAGGCTGAATATGAACTACGGCCAGCTGACTTGCTCTTGTTATATGGCTGGTTGTATTTCTCAGACAAAACCCTGCTGTTACGGAGCACTACTAGTTTTCACAGCCAAACTGTATTTTGAGTTAAGCCCAATGGACCCAATTTCTTTCCCTTTCAATATGTACTCTTGAAAATAACTTCTAACCTATCCAGAAGACATCTTTGACATCTTGACATTTTTCACTCTTTGGCATTACTTTAAGGATTGTTTCACCTCTTCAGATATTACTTTGTTAGACAAGGTTATCCAACAAAAGTAATCAGCCACTTCAGGATCTGTGATAATAGAAAAGGAAAAGAAAGAAGTATTTCTTCTAAAGATATAACAACAAAAAGATCTCTCTGGAGGAAAAAAAAAATTAAAAAAACATTTTTATTTCTGTGAGTTTTAGTTGCTAAACCACCTATAGTCAAAGAACCATCCATTTGAGAAGAAAATATGACCTTCCACTCTATGCACCTTTTATCTTGGTCATGCTTTGTGGGTATTTTTATAGATCTAACAACTGAACCTTTCAATTTCATGTCAAATGTGTCACATATATTGTAAGGAAAGAAGCTACAACACTGAGTCTTAGATGTTCTTTTAACCTTTATTACCTTCTCACCAGCAGCTTACCCAATTCTGATTCTCTGCAGGTTTATCCGGATGCCCAGCATTACAGACCAAGTTATCCCACCACTGGAACTGAATTAGACAAGCTACATAAAGTTAAAAAACCATGAAAGTAGAGATAAATGCCTAGATTTTCCTCTCACTACAATTTTCACTAAGTCTGTAACACTAGACAAATATTGTCAATAAACACTTTTATAAAGGAAATCTCTGTTAGGAAACTAAACTTTATCTATATAGTAAACTTTCTGTGATTACAGTGACTGCTAAACAGCTGTGTGCTCAAAATCTGTAAACCGAGAGCAAAGATAAGGAGCGCTAAGGCATAAAACTTATCTGAGCCAGGAAAGAAAGCTCCAACCAGTTACCTGTATCTACTGACAAAAAAAATAAAAGTGGAATAGTCTATCAGAAGTGCACTATGCAGGCCATAAGGTCATAACTTTTTTTCCCCCTTTAATAACTAGATTGGTACATCTAGCTACAAAAGCTTTTTCATTATTTAACGGATCAGCTCTAGACCCATTAGAGCATGGGAACTATGTATACAAACTTAGTGAAGGACTCACATAATTATTAAAAATAACAATCATATGGTGAGATAAAGACAGTGCAGCATCTGTTTTCCACATTTTTTTGTGGGAGTTTATAAGAAAGTCAGCATTCATATGAGCACAGATAACCACACAGACACATACAAGCATCTGTCCATCTATATTTATACTCTTTTTTTAAGTAAACCTGCATTTCTGAAATGCTTGCCAAAGAACATTTAACCATATTGCCACTACAAGAGCATTGGAAACAACCATGATCATCGTCTCAAAACTTCCAGGGTAACATATGACTAGAAATTTTTTGAGACGAAAAAAGTAAGTCTTTAGACTCAATGAAAATTGCATCATCTGCACTGTGACCTCCAGAGACAACAGTGACTTTTGACGGTAATGATTTTGACAGAATTTGAGGTAATACTAGGAAATACTGGACATAGTTAAAAAAACTTCCAAAGAGAGATTTCTGCACATTTTCACAAGCTATTTCTGAGTTATATTCTGGGCAACAGTTTTGACTTCACTGGTGTTGCATCAGGCATCAATCAGTAAAATTTCTGGCTCATTATTTTCAGAATTAATTTTAGGAAGACCTGTTCATTAAGCAGGGTTCATTCCCCAGTTCTCTAAGTTGAAGCTGAACACTTAAAATAAAAACCAATCTCATGCTGAGACATTACTGCCCACTTGCTTATGGGATAAAAATATAATGTTACAAGGAAGAAAACTTTCATTTGGGACCAATCAAATGATATCCAGCAAGACAAAAAGCAAAAAAAGAAAAATCTAGAAAAAAATATTTTTATCATCAACTCTAACACATATTTTGCTAGTTTTCTACCATCTTTTCACGCTTGTAAAAACTACACAGTTGTTGCTAGCTATCTTTTTGGCTGACAGTGAGTCAAGTCAAAAAGCAAAAAGTTACCATCCACAACATGCCCTAGTTGCACATTACCATCTTTCTTCTCATCATGTTGCTGCCTCCTCAGATCTGCTAGCTTAACTTCATGCCTAGCCAGTACTGGTGCCAGCCAAAATGTCTAGTATCAGATTAAACTTAGCTTTTAAGTGCAGCTTATTTGACAGAGACAAGGTAAGGAGAGGCTACAGATACAATTCTACTGTCAGACAAGAGGCTGTAATAATTTCTAGCAGGATGTAGTAAAGAGCAACTGAGGTAGGTTCGGAGTTGTAATCTTGCCACCAAGCTCAGCGCCAACCAAGACAGCATTTCAGACCACAGCCTCAAAGTTTTGGAGGACAGATGAGAGGAAGAAGTGGCAGAATACCACAGACACAATACTATACTCTTTTAGAGGCTGTCAATGGCTTTGAAAAAAACCCAATTCTGTCTTATGGAATTAAAAAAAAAAAAAAAAAAAAAAAAAAAAGAACAAACTCCTCAGCTTTATATTATAGCTTGCATTAATGGAATAACCAAAACCAATAAAAATATGAGATCATGACAATTCTCAGTGGGCAAGTGGAAGCACGTGATAAAACTATATCCTTGCAAGATAAAACTTATTCCAGGAGTAGCCACGTTCATATAAGGAAGAAGCCGATGTGCAGTGTCTACTTAACCCAGCAATGTTTAAAATTCACTGTGCAACTGAGTGAAGGACACAGTCCAGATAATTTTACATTGGAGCTTCCTGATCCTTCTCCTTTCTTGGTCATCTTACGACCACACCAGCCGGCTCCAAAGCTTAAGAGTTGGGTACACGTAAAGCCCGTCTCTATGAGCCCATTTGTTGCCACGTTGCACAGTCACAGTGGTAAAAGTCAGGCAGTGGTTCAGCCCCTTTGGATACCTTCTAACCAAGCCCAATCGTTAAAGGCAAGTAAATGTTGCCTGCTACCCAGCTAAAAATTACTCTTGCAAAAAGTAAGGAAATAGCGAGTTCACCTCCTTCTTGGGTTCCAGACACGCGGTGTAGCCAAAATCATGTGCTTCTCCTCTCTGCTTGCTTCAAATAAAATTTATTCTCTGCTCATTTCACAACACCTAGAAATGAAAAAGAAGATTTTACTGAGATATCCTTGGAAATATTCATTTAATGTAGTCCCTTTTCAGAAACTGGACTAGGAATTTTTTGTAGTTCTGGTCCTGTAGAAGAGATCATAAATTTCAGATGGGAATATCAAAGGTACTTGCAAAGCAATGTTACTACAATGCTTACTCAGCATCCTTAACCCTTCAAATTATAAAAAAGACAGGTAGTCATTAATGAACAGAAGAGAGATGCCATGTTTACTTTCTCCTTGGTCAGTAAGCTGTAACAAATTCAAAAAGATGACACACCGCTTCATTGGAAAAGAAAGAAAAGGGAAGAGTGAAGTAGCTACTTTTATAATTTCTGCCTGAATAAAACACACTCTAATTTGATTTCTATGCTGGAAAGAAAAAATAAAATCTAAATTACCTTTCTCATTCGAAGATGCAAGAAAAAAGTTAGGTGTTTCTAAGAGGCACTACAACAGCAAAAATGATACAGTATATGTGCCACTTCCAAGAAATAGAAACATTTGATTATTTTGAAGTAGCTGGCCAGAGCTGGCAGTTGAACTCAATTATGATTCTATCAGGTGCCAGCTAACACATTCAATAGTATTTGAGAGAAAATGAAATATTGTAGTCCATGCAAATCATAACAGATAGGAATCTTACTAAGCTGATATTGAGCTGCACCTTGCCAATGAATAGATCTCGCGTTCCAGACAAAAAAATCTAAACCTTTAAACCAAAGGATAAAATCAACTTAACAGAACAATTTAAAAATACTTTTGTTTCAAAAACACATTACTGCAGAACTTAATGCAGAGAAACATACAACATGGTATTATTCTTTTTGTAAAAGAAGGCAAATAATGACAAAGATGGTATCTTGCTCAGCACAATGTCTGCATTGTTTTCTGTGTCCATCTGCAAGAAACTTATTTTCTCCACATTATTTAGCATATTCTCAGGAGAGATATAATAAGGTTGTTTGAGATTTCTCCAAAGGTTGCGCAATGCACTACACATGTAACATTTACTTAGGATTATCAAATGCAACTGCACTAGAAATTAGAAAAATATTAAACATACTCAGAAATGAAGCAGTAGAGTCAGTCCCTTAGGACAGTTGGTGCTTCCCTTTGCTTAATGCCAGCTAGGCCCCAACACAGTGAGAAAAGCACTACGAATTAGTACTTTCTGCCAGGTCATGCTGTACATTAACTCTCTTAATTGTACTGGTATGGTGCTCGAGGGGAAAAACTCATTCTAAACTCAGAGAAATCAGAAGAAGGACTTTTAATTCTCCTCTACTAAATAAGAGGGTTATCTTATAAATTAATGTTTTAAGCACACAAAGAAGTTTTCTGTCATTATTATTTTCTAGAATGCTCTGTTGTACCTCTGAGTAATTTTCCTTCATGAGCTTCAACTTCTTTCCTTCAAGTACTACACCAGTACCAAACAAATCTTTGGTCCTCCTGGCGATCATTCTATTTTCTGTGTCTTACCCCAAGATGATATAAACATTTTGTTTCACCTTCACAGGTTTATCTTTTCCTTTGGCCTTAAAGATGTCAAAGTCTGTAAATCAGTTCTGCTCTTGCCATTATGACAAACAAGTCCTATATATCCTTTTCATGCTCCAAGTCCTGAATTTTTCCATTTACCGGTGTTCTTACCCCTCCATAAATACTTTTAACTCTTTTCAAAAATACACATTTCTGGAAGAAGGGGACTTGGCTTAGTAATCAGTGCAGGTAAAAAAAGTATCCTCTAAAAATGAGTCTGTCTCAATAACCTGCTTTCTCCAATAACCGAAGTTTGAAGTGGACATTCACATCCAAAGTTACTAGAAATGAGCACTTAGATGAAATACATTCCCAAGTCAGGACTTAAAAAACTACAGTGCTGAAGACTTAGACCTGAATTTGATCCCTGTGAAATCACCGCATAGCTTCACAGGACTCTACACTTTGCTATTTTTAAAAAATAGAAAATTATTAAGTAAACACTTACTGCAAATAAGACTGCACACTGGGTAATAAAAGCAAAATTGTGTATTGAAAGGAACTTTTGGAGATTATCTACTCCAGTCTCCTCCCCAAGGTATGGCTACCTTCTAAGTTTGGCTGGGTTGCTTTAGGACCTTGTCCAGATGAGTTTTAAAAACCCCCAGGGCTAGAGGTCCCTCTCCAAGCAACTTGTCTCAGTGCTTAACCTTGCTGCCTGTGAAAAATTGCCTCTTCAAATCCCATGGGAGTCTTCTTCACCACCACTTGTGGTCAGTGTCTCCTGCCCTGTTGCTGTGCACCTCCCAGGGGAACCTGGTTCTGATTCCTCTACTGCTCCTGCAACCAGCTCCTTGTGGTGCCCTCTTCTTGTCTCCTGGCAATCCTCCAGAACCTCAGGGGCCTTCCACTCACCACTGCATTTTCTTGATCTCCTTGTTTTGGAACACTGCAAGAAGGGCACAGCTGTCTCACCACAATGGAAGAGGAGAATCCCCTGCCCCAACCCTACTGCTGTGCCTACCCATCAGGAAGCCTCCCTTGCTGTAAGGACACATGGCTGCTTCACCAGTAAGTCACTGCCCACTAGATTCCCATGTCCTTTTCTGTGTGACTACTGGTAGCTGGTATGCAGCGCTGTGCTGGGTAATGCCAAATCGGTTCTGCAGGACTTCTGCAGAACTATCTGTGTGAAGGGTATTTGTACAGTTTTAAGACAGAAAATCCTGTCCTGAGAAAGTTAAGCCTAAACTAGGTGAGACAAGTAGATCAGACAGGATGAAAAATAACTGTTCAAGAAGGGTAAGACATTAAAAAGGAGGCTAGTTAAAAGATTGGATCAGGATTCAGAGGGACCATGAAGACAAATGCAAATTCAGACGCTTCTGAGTTCAAAGTCTGGGAGACAGATAATTGAGAAACTCAAATTCAGGAATGGGTGATAGACATAAATAAAGCAATAGTATTAGAGGGTTACCTGACTGTAAGGCACAGGAACAGAAGAATGATTGAAAGCAAAATAAGATTCTGTACAACCTTAGGCCTGCTGCTCATCTCTTCATTCAGTTATTTATTTTTTCACTTCCAAGATTCCAATTAGGCAACATCAAAGTTACTACAAGACATGTCAGGTATAAAAAGGTCTTCAAAAGGAAAAGTAGTACTGCAGTCTGTCTGTACTACCTGACAAAAAAGAGTTCAATAAACCTTACTGCACTTGAACAATGAGGAGTGAGAGCTATAACCTTAAAATATAAGTAATGGAAAGAAATAAGCATGTGCCTAAAAGGAAATCTAAAATTCATCATCCTAAGTTTTCAAAGACAAACTTTAAACAAAATGGAGGGAGCTGAAAATACCTATTCATTTTGCTTGTGAGAAAAACCAATCTCTCATGCCTTTAGGCAGTAGAGAATTATGTGGTCTTTTGAACTGAAAAAGTGCAAACTGTAGAGGATCAGACTGAATAAATGTTAAGATACTAGTCTCACAAGGCCTTTGGGAATCTACTCAATAACAATATTTTTGAGATTTCACACGCAGAGGTGGTGCATTTGTCATAGTTATTTACAACTTGCAGAGTATCCAAATAAAAATGAAAGGATTTGTTTATGCAATGAGGAACAGAGTCAAAGACAAAGGAAATATCTGCATGGGAACACATAACACTTATAAAAAACCTTCATTTTAAGATCAACTGAAAATAAATTAAAAAAAACCCAAGCAAACAAACAAACCCTAAAACACCCAAAAAACCCCCAACGCTAAATTGATAGCTTTCAACTGGGCTATGCTATAAGAAAGATTCATGTTTTTCAACTTAGTATATTTAAAATGTTGAAAAGTTAGTCTGGTTGGTAGAGTTCTTTCCCTTAATTTATGCAAAGATTTGACATGCAGAATTTGTTTAGTCCTCATAGCAAGAAGAAAACTCCTTATCATAGAATAGGTAGATGCTAGCAATTGGATGAACAGTTTCCTATATCTGTAAAGATTATTCCAGTACAACTGTTACAGCTGTTGCAGATGGTACAAGAGTGGTATCCTTCATCCAAAAATGAGATGTATACATCTAAAGATGACTTTTTTAATAAGTCCTCATGTCAACCTTGTTGCAAAGACCTGCTTCCTGAAGACAAATTGTCAGTGCACTTTATTCAGGCTAGAATAATGGTGGCAGCTGCGCAGAAGCTCCTCGATCAGTATGATGGGAAGGTTAATGCCAACAGAAGCCATCTCCATTGCAGAAGTTTTTTCTGTGTTGTTGAGTAGAAGCATCAATAAAAGCTGAGGCTATTGGGTCTCAATATATTTCAAGGTTGAAATCCAACTCAGTATGCAAATACGTATGTGAAAATTAAGCAGAAGATATGTATAATTTTCACTATCTAGTATATTGCTTATAATATCATAAAAAGTATTTACAAACCCTGATTATTTGGTCTAAGCCTGTAATCCTCTTTGGGAGTGAGATATATACTGCATAAATAGCTTCTTAAGGGGGAAAAAAATCAACTTCATTGTGTGGTAACCTGTAAAACGAACTACATCTTCTTGTGAAAAGCAGAAGATAAGAAAGCATAAAGGAGCTGACTCTAATTGACACCTTTCCTACAATAATCGGGAACAATACTTCAAGAGGAGCAAGCCACACATTTAGTCATGCCCTTCTTTTCTTTTATCATATGCAAAAAAAAAAAAAAAAAGGTTTCAATCTTTCTTAAATGACATACTTTTACTTCTTTATTTAATTCTTTACTTCATGTCCTTTCTCCCTTCCCTTCTGGCCTTTTAAACCAACTGCTAAAATTACTCAGCAGAACTGCACATCAGGTATACAACAGTTCCTTTCATTGGCATGAGATACATGGAGAGACAGGACCTTAAAAGGCCAGTTGTTATGTGCAGTCCATAAAATAACATTTTCTGCAGACAATGTAAGTTCACAGTTGTAGCAGGAATGGGGCCAAATTTGCTTTAAAATATCCATTTGAAATT